AAAAGAGGGTCGACACCCATCCCATCCCCAGATGAGTTCAGGCTGGACTTACTGTGCAGTTTCATGACCCGAGTAGATGTGTCATTTATTGCAGTAACGATAAATATGATGGAATAGGTCTTGTAGTCAGTGTCCAAAATAACGATTTCTTTGTCTCCTTGAAACAGAGCAAAATTCTAGACACTTCCCACTTGCTTGGCCAGGGCTCTCAGTTCCTAGCTGTGCTTTTGCCTGGCACATTTGCACGAACAAGCGTGTACTGGAAGCACACATGGGCAGCATGGAATGAGCCTTGAGAGTCCGAAGGACTCTCTGAAGAGGAGGGCAAGGATCCCCACTGACCCAGGTAAAGGAATGCTGGATCACATCTAGGATTCCAGAGAGGAGGCTGCTAACGTCCTGGAAAAGACAGAGACTGGGGACGGTGGATGTGGGGGCACCTGCCCAGGCTCCTGACTCTTAGGCCTGGCATCCTGGTACTGAGCAGTCTGGCACTGAGGGCTTCAGTCAGGGTACAACACCCTCAGAGAGGCAAGGGTCCCACTCCCCATCCAGAACAGTGGAAGTACACACTGAGAGTAAACCAAAGTGCCCCAGATAGGCCACCACACCCACCAAACCTGGGACAGTATGTTTGCTTATTGCTCTGGTGACCCTGAACCTCCATGGGTAGTCTGATTTAGAAGCCTCGATCTTCTCCAGCACACAGACGTCCTTACTACAAAGACAAGAAGGTAGGCCAGCCTGTAATCCCAACACAGGAGGTGAGGAGAACTGAGTCAAGGAGATTGCAGTTTGAGGCCAAGTTGGGCTACATGCCCAAGTCAGGACATCCTGGGCTACACAGACAGAAAAAGGGGGGAAAACAGTGTGGCCCTCAGTGGCAGAGAGTGAGTATCTTAGGTGTGTTTATACACGGGACTCATGCCTGTGTACATGTATCCCTAAACATATAGCTCAGGACAGCCTGGGCTATACAGACAGACAAAGTTGGGGGTGAAGGAGAATAGAGGAAGGAGACTCCTGGCCTCCTGCCTACCAGGCCTTGAACTGTATGCTCTGAGGTGGTGGACATGGTAGGCAACCCTGGAGTCCAGAAACCAGCTAGACACAGGTGTCCTAACGTCTGCTGCGCCTACAACCCCAGAGAACTGGACCCCTTACCCAGTGGTTACCCAGTGAGAAGGAGAAGGAGTAGCAAGAGGTACTGGCTATGGAAATATGCCCCTGGTGACTCCTAGGAAGCCACTTTCCTGTGCTTGCAGACACAGAGAAGACCAAAAGACACCCTGAGGGATACAGGCTCGGAGGAACACTGTCACACTTGTGTCTGAAGGACACAGTCTGAGGAACGGGAACAAACATACCTAAGAGACCTCACTCTCTGCCACTGAGGGACACAGCCTAAGAAACATGGACACACTGATATGAGTAACACATTCAGGAGCGCATATGTGAGCGACAAACTTCCTGAAGTAAAGTAACACACATTTGGGGGAGAATCTCTTACGAAACAGGGAGATGTTCATGATTGAGGGACACACTTGGTGGCACAGGGACACACAGAGGCACACGCTGAGGAGCAGAGACAGCACACGCGTGTGAGATACACAGTCTTTGAGGAACAGGGTTGCACACATCTGAAGAACACAGTCTTGAGGTGAAGAGAATCAAGGACACACTCAGAGCTGAGGGACACATTCAGGGACACACATTAAGGTAAAAGGACACACATTTGAAGGCACACTCTAGGAAGCATGGTTACGCACATCTGAGGGCACGCCTGACCGAGGGAAACAGTTCTGAGGAGCAGAAGCACATACAAATCTGAGGGACACTCTGTGACAAAATGATACACTGTAAAGGGACTCTCTGAGGATAGGGACATGCGCATGTTACTGTGGACGTGAGTCTGGCTTCCCATGTGCGGCCTGAAGGTGTCCACTGGCCAATAGATACATGGGAACGTTGGCACTGTTGGGTTGAATGCCAGGATGAGGGGATGACTCAGGTCAGCCTTGCCTCACTTTTCCTCAGACCTCACCATCTGTCAGTGAGGAGTTGGCATGTCTCATGACCCTAGAGCTAGGAAATTGGACCTTAAAGCTGTCTGATCAGTTACTTGCTCAGAGGCCAGGGTGGCAGTCCTGGAGCCCAAACTCCTATCGTGATTGTAGAGTTGTTAGGTCACTCCATAAACTGCCTTGATAGACAGTGGGACACCCAGGGTGCCAACGATTATCTGGTCCCATCTGAAACAGTTGCCTCTTCATCTCTCTCTAAAGCCTAGGCTGAGGCACAGACATGGGGAGATGTATCTCCGGGAAAAGCAGAGAGCACTGTACAGGTTACCCCAACTTTCCTCTAGGGCCATAGGCAAGGCTTTCACTCACTAGAAATAGGTGATTGTCAGGACCAGTAGGTTATTTTCCATCTCAACTCTCATGGCTCCCAACTTCTCATCATCCCTGTAGCCAATTTCATCAGTATTGGCGACAAAGGCGATCTCATACCAGAAGCCTAAAAACTGGGGGATAGGAATTAGAGAAAGGACCTGCCCAAGAGTATCAGCATCCAGGATTAGGGACCCTGAGAGCCATTCTCTGTCCCTCCCTTCCAAGGAATGCAGAAGTCTGGAAAGTTCTAGGGGTGAAGGGTACCCAAGATGGGGAGTATCGAAGGCTGACTAGGCAGGGCCCAAGCCCCATGGAAAAGCACTGAACTTGGTTCACTATAACTGTGACTACCTGGCTTACGTCGAAGTCATTCTGTTCTGCATCCTCTGGGTCGGCAGCCGACCCCACGAACAGACACATGCACAGCCCCAGCAGAGTGAAGGGTATGTTGCTCTCCATATGCCTAGCTGGTAGTACCTGGGTTCAACTCTCCAGCCACAGGAAGCCATAGCCTTTGGCTCAGAGCCTCTGAACTTTATATCCTTCCTGCGGGTGCTTGGGATAGACATAGAAGGTTCTCATTAGGTCAGGTTGGGAGCACACTGTAAGCCAGCCAGGTGACTCACCTACCTGCTAGATAGCAGGGCCTTGGGGGACTGCCTCCAGGGGACACAGATCTTGCCTCTGGGTGTCCACTCATATATGCATAAATCCACTCAGCAATTGAGCGGCTCCTTTCCAGTTGTGTGTGGGTGACAGAGCAGGCTCCACCAAAGATCCTTGACAGGCTTTGGTCACAGGCACAGAGAAGATAAAGACTTGCTAGGGGCAGAACTCTGCCCACTGTAGCAAGTGACCCAGGCAGCAGAGGCCTGGGAATGGCGGGGGCAGGACTGCGGACACCGGAGCCATGCGTGGTTGGATCTGTGCGGCTTTATGTTCATCGAGATGAGAATCTTAAGGAGTAGGTCAGAACATCGTGACTCCCCCCCCCAGCTTATGCCTGTTTTACTGGGGACTTTGAAGAAGCCACAGCAGTCACCCAAGGGCCACCAGATGAGCAGCCAGAATACCTGGACTAAAGCCAGCCCTGAGGAACCCTGGCACTGTCTTTACTCCCAAACTTGGTTTTTTGTGGGCAGAGACCACAGTCTCCAGATTTCAGGTAAAGAACGAGACACATAAGGCCAAGCCACCTGTGTAGTCTCCACAGCAAAGAGACAGCCCCCTTGTGACATCATCCCCTAGGGAAAACCCAGGCCCTGGCCCTGAGGGCACAGACAAGGATAGAGGAGTGTTGGCAACTACAGTCAGGGTTCAAATGATGAGGAGTGGGAAAGAGGAAACAAGGAGAACAGTTAAGGAATATAAAAATGACGCAGGGCTCAGAGCCCTGCAGGAAGGAACAGCTAATGCACGCAGAGATGACGGCCAGCTGGATCTTCTGGTGGCCCAGCTAGTGGACTCATGCACCTCTTTCTTCCTGACGGAAGCCAAGGCCAGTGTTCCCAGCATACTTCTTGAAAACCAGTCACCAGCTATTCTGGAGCTCAGACAAAGTCAGGCAGCCGTTAGCGCTGTGTCCAGACCCCTCTTCATCTCAGCAAGCCCCAGATTGGCAGCCAGGGATCAATCCAATCCTCCCTGACCCTTCCAACCTCAAAAGAACATTGGGTCTGTTCAGAACTGAGCTGTCCTGATGCTAATGATCTCATCCTAGAGATGGTGATCTGCACGCGGTCACTCAAGGCCAATGAAGTAAGCTCAAGGAACACCCAGCACCAAGAGTTTTGAGTGGGGTGTATGCCCACCGGTAGCTGTAAAATCTGTATTCTTAGGGAATCTCTGTGCAAAAAGGGACATTCAGGAGAGATGGAAAGCATTTTTCCTGCCTTTTGAAGAAATAAAGAAACCCTTCAGGATCCTGCTAAACTGCACACTGCCCCACCCATCCTCCAACAAGACAGACAGTGGCCATCGCAACACCTTGCCATCTCCAGAATATAGCACCCGGTACTGAGTACTGGCCTCAGGAAAGGGGCCCCAGAATGGACTCAATTCTGTCCTCGGAATGTCAGCTGCCCATCTGTCCAGTGGGGACAAGACACCTCAAAGGGATGTGTTGAGGACAGTTGTAGAAGTTGGCAACCAACAAAGTGGGCAGTGGAAAGGTTAGAGGTTCCCTCACAGCCAGAGCTACACATTTCTGTGTTTCTTTCCTGGAGGCTCTGCCCCCAGCGTGGCCTTGACCATGTGGCAGCCCTTTTGAAAAGCATTTCTCTGCTGCTCCTCTGCCCAGATGCCCACAAAGTCTCTCAATTTTCCTCATAGCATCCTAGAGTGCCACTGGCATCCACGAACACTGTTCCAGTATGAGGAGGGGACCGTGGGACCCCACTGCTCAGGATAGCATGAATGGGCCAGGGAAGGCCAGGGCAGGGTGGAGCAGGACCTTTCACATGGGAATCTGGACTGGCTGCCCTGTGTGTGAGGCACATTCTTCACCAAGCATTTCTGGGAAATGCAGGCTTGTCTCCTCCACCTGGGCCAGAGAAACATTCCTGCCACCCCTTTCCCTGCCCCCAGGAAAGATGCTGGGCAGCATTTGGCAGCAGGGTTTATTGGAAGCAGGTGCAAGAGGCCCATCAGGCAGGAGCAGGAGAGGCCAGGTAGGTGGGGCTGTAGCCTTGGGCCAGGGCAGAAGCTATTCAGACCAGTCCCTGTAGGCAGAATAGCAGAGCTTAGAGCCATGTGTGGCCTTCAAGAACCCTGTGCTGGTCAAGCATCACAAGCTAGGTACCTGGTACCTCAGCTGCCTGGCTTTGGCAAAGCACTGGTTCCCTGAGCCTTGGAGTTATAGTGTCAACCTCTGGGGCCTCTGCTGTGACGGTGAGGTTGTGTAGGTAGTGGGTTAGCATAGTGTTAGACATAGGAAACCCCAAGATAGCCAACAGAGCTGAACTCCCACCAACTGGCAGAACACGAAGGGGTAAAACCTGCGCCCTGCACATCCCTGCTGGACAGAACAATACAAACAAGGTACCTCCCTTCTCCAACCTAGCCCTGTCCCACCCCCAAGAGCCCAGCATGACAGCTTGGAGTCACATTGCAGACTGTTCTTTCCAAACTACAAAACAGAAGCATCTGAAGCTGCCTATCAGGGCTGTTGGTTGTCCTGCTCAGAGGAGGGATGGATGACCCCTCCTTTCCGGGACCAGAATCTAGTAGTGCCAGCAGGAGCTCCATGAAGGCTGGGCTGCAATGTAGACCAAGGGTAGCGGGCTCACCTCTTTCAAGAGCTCAGCACACCTCCCTGTGGGAAGAGACAGCATGTGACACAGTCAAGAGGGCATCAGACCCCATAATAGGGCCTGGTCCAGAGTCCTCCCCAAGGCACCATGCTCACCATGTCGGGCCAGCATGTAAAGACCTTGATCTGCTGTCATTTCTCGAAACTTCCAGAAGCCAGGCTCATCCTCAGTCTCAAGGCTCCGAGCTGTGGAGTACAGCAGGGCTGGGCTGGCAGCCTGAAGTAAGGCAGCCACAGGGCTCTGCCCCAACCCAGGCTGAACTTACTGAAGTACTTGAGCACATGGAAGTTTCTGCCCTGCCAAAGCAGGGACAACTTCAGGATGGTGTAATGTTCATAGTCTGTCTCCAGCACGCAGATCTTCCTGTGGCCTTCAGGAAATCAGTGGCAGGGTTAGGAAGACTTGCTCAAACCTCAGTACTACAGGCGGCTTACCTTGAAGGCTGGATCTGTAGAATCTAACTCCCTTCTGTTTCTGCCTAGTGCTGGGACCTGCCTGTGACATCCTGGGGAGATAACTTCTGAAGGTCAACCCTGTGCACTAGTAGAGATGAGGGGCCTGGAGCCCAGGGCCTGAGGATCCCAGGAAGGGCACAGAGAGCCTCCAGGCCAGGGGAAGATAGCAAGACAGTATCCAGGGTCAGGCAGTTGCAACTTTAGCAACAAGGCAATAGCACTTACCAGGAAAAGCAAAATCCCCGGGAGTGTCTCTTCTTGAACCCACTGATGTGTCTGTTACACAGCTCCCTGAGCTAAAAAGCAACAGTGTTGTTAAGAATCTGCCAGCCTTCAATCCATCTGCAGGGCACATTACTGAGTGAGGCATACCTTCAGAAATGTGCTGGCAAGCTGGGGAGCCACCTGGAGCCTAGGATCCATGGGAAAGGAACCATGCATGGGGTAGGGCTGCCCTAGTCTCTCACCTTCAGGGAGCCATCCAGCTACTACCCACACGTTCTTATCAACCTATAGGGCTTTATCTTAAGCCCTTGCTTATATTTTGGCAGAAATGCAGTTCTAGGAGCCCGAGATCCAGCTTTCTCTGTGGTTGGAGGGCACAAGCAGGTGGGCACGGGGAAAGCTGGTCCACATACTGATGTCACCACTACAAGAGGTACACACTGGACAGTGCTCAACTACATATAGGTCTCTTCCTTCCCAGCAGGTCACATCCACAAATGACCCAGGCCCCTTACCTGTTATACACAGCCTTCACGGTGATATTCCTCCCACTGAAGGTGAGGAACAAACCCTCTATCCTCCTTTGAGTCTTCAGCACCAGGTTCTGGTCAGAAGTCACAGCCACTTCCTTCCAGAATCCTGCAATCTAGGGAACAGAACTAGAACTATCAAGCCAAACTGGGCTTCCAGCTCCTGGGCTATGGAGGGCATTTCAGGGATCCTCGGGCAGGGAGTGGTGGGCTCTGAGAGGTCTATAGATAGTCATGAGACTGAGGGGCCATTTGTCCTTAGCTGAGTTTTCCTTCTCAGGGAACCTATCAGGACACCGGACAGAAACGTTCCTTCCGGAAGATCCTGACACAAGACTGGGTATCACCTGAAACTTTTAGAAACTGGTTATTGTTACAAGAGAAAAGAATCCATGTCCCCCAAAGCCTGATCCCCCTGAGTTTACAATGCAACTCTGCTGGTCTCAGGAAGGATGCGGGCATAGAAAGAGGAATCCAAGCAAACAAGCCATGCACTCTGGAGAAGTCCTCTTCTGGCTCCACAGTACACAGGAATGGGGCCAAAGGAAGCCTATGAACCCGGGAGCAGGAAGGAATCCAAATTTGTAAATCACCGGGACCAGAGGTGACCGGGCTGAGGACAGCAGCTATTGCCTTGACACAGATGGCACATGAGAGAACTCAGGGAGGGGAGAGGTCCATGGAACCCAGAGCCTCACTAGGACCCTCAACTGCCTACCGTCTTGGGGATGGAGTCCTCAAGTGTGGGTCCTGCCCCTGTCAGCTATGCTGTAGCAAACTTGGAGTTGGATAGAAGGGGAGCGAGACTTACAACGGTTATACACTATTCCCTCCCAGTCCAACTTCCCGTCAAGCCCCAGTCATGCCTCCAAGCTAAAGAGTCACCTTCTCTGGTACTAGGTCCACCCTTGTAGACTCCGCCTGCAGCAGGTACACCAGGAAGAGTCCCCAGATGGTGTTCAGCAGCCTGGCTTCCATCTCAGGGCCTGTCTTGTGGCTTCTGTTTATGGAGGGCACGGGCTTATATTTGGAGAGTGTGCAAGCATGTGCAACCACCCAGAGAATGTCATTGGGCAAAGCTGACTGCCAGCTACTCAGAGACTCAGTTTCTGCTTACTCTGCATCAACCCACATCCAGGCAGGGGTTGAACCAAGCTAAGACAGCTCTCAAACTGCCTCCATCCTAGTATTTGGGCAATGATGGGCCCTACACTGAGGCTGCACTATCCCAGCTTCCCCATTTGTAACAATGTATTCTAAAACAACAGAAAAATGTTGAACTGGGTGGGCATGGAGCCTTGTGTCACCCACCTCCCAGGAATCTTACTTCCTGCAACATCTTACACTCCTGGACCACTGTCCACTCTGCCTATGACCCCTTTGGCTGAAAGTTTCCACAAAGCCCTGGGTAGTAACACAACTTGAGTGTGTGTGGTGTATGTATATTTGTACAGGGTATTTGTGTGTGTGTTCTTGTTAGGGAAAGGTGTGCACATATTCACAAGGGTGTGGAAGCCAGAGGCCAACCTCAGGTGTTGCTCCTCAGGTATCATTCACTTTCTGTTTTGTTTTATTTGTTTGTTTGGTTGGTTGGTTGGTTGGTTACTTAGTCTTTTTTTTTTTTTTTTTTTTTTTTTTGGTTTTTACGAGACAGGGTTTCTCTGTATTGTTTTGGAGGCTGTCGGTCCAGCCTGGCCTCAAACTCACAGAGATCTGCCTGCCTCTGCCTCCCGAGTGCTGGGATTAAAGGCGTGTGCCACCACCGCCCGGCATGGTTACTTAGTCTTTGAGACAGTCTCTCTCACTAATCCTAAACTTGCTGAGGAGGCCAGACTGCCTAGCCAGTGAGCCCCAAAGATCCACTTTTCTCTGTCTCCAGAGCACTGCATCATGTGATTTCAAATGCACACCACCATGCTTGGCTTTATACCTGGATTCTGAGGGAAGCATCTTATCAACTGAGAAATCCTCCCAGTCCCAATGACACAGTATTTAAATATATTAAAACAAATACCTCTCGGGCCACTGAGAATTTTAAGGCAATTTTTATTTTGAAAATCTACTTTATTTGTGATCAATATTAAAAACAAAACCTCTCACTCTCTAGGGGAGAAAGCTAAAACTGGCACCCCCAAAAGAGCTTGGTCACCTTGGGACCCAACTCTCTAGCTCAAAGACTGTACAGCTGAGGGTCGGATGCTGTGAGGCTTGTAGGGGCCCCAGGGGACCCAAAACAACTCTACCCAGGTCAGTATCCCTCATCCTGCAGAACTGGTCTCCAATCTTTAGGAGCCACATGGAGCTGCTCCAGACTTGGACAGCTCACGGGAGGTGGCAGCCATTGAAGACCACCCTCCAGGGGAAACCAGGCTAGAGAAGACACTAGGGTGGGCTGCTGGGAGATGTAAGGGATGGCTGGAGAGGAAGCACACTGGTTAACACGAGGAGCCCTCCAAAGACTCGGGGACATCAGGAGGAAAGCCGAGGACCCACCGGTCCCAGCAACACCAGCAACAGGCTGACAAGTCAGGGCCCCTGGGGACACAGAGATGGGCTTGGCTGACAAAAGCGAGAGAAAGGGAAGTGGAGTGGGTGGCATCGGGTTTTCTGGGTGACCAGGACAGGATGAGGGCAGCACCTGTGAAGGCTGACTGCTTCTGGTTCTTGTTGTCTGAGGACCACAGACACTGATGAGCAATGGACCAGAACTCCAGCAGATTCCGGGTCCTCACACCTGGCCCTTTGAAGAATGAGAACTACGCCCATTGAGAGAGTGAGGTTCTGTGACATGGAGGTAACAGCGGCGGTGGTCCCTGGGGAAAGACTCCTGTACTCCACCTGTCACTCAAGAGCAACGCAGAGTCCGTCATGTGACCCTGAATAACGTGCCCAGAACTCTGTGCCTCCATGTGTTAACCTGAGAAACAAGAGTGGAAAGAGCTACACGCACCCAGGAGTGTGTCATGGGATACACGCAACAGCTAGCCAACCAAGGTCCAGAGGCCCACGGGCCGCCGTCCTGACCCGTTTCTCAGGCTCCCAGAGGTCCAAACCATTTTCCCCACATCACAGCAGTGGTGGGAGGCAAAACCCAGACAAGCCAACTCCATGGCCCTCCAGCTGCTCCAGCTCCAGCCCCTGCATCCAACCAGCGAGACTCAAGGAAGTCTGGAGCCTGGTGGCCAGGAACCATCTTCACAAGGCACCTCAGTTTCACCAGCAGACACTATGCTCAATTTTCCCTGTGGATGCAACACTGTCTCTACACCAAGTTTCAATGAAACCTCCTGCCCCCTCTCCCAGAAGAACCCTAAGTGGCCAAAGTCCACTTCAGTCTCCCAGGAGGGCTGGGATCAACACAGGGCTACTGTGCCCTGCTCACGGGCTTCTCCAAAGAGTCACAGAGCCATGGGGATTCAGAATCTGTTTATTAGGTAGTAAGAGAAGGGACACAATAGGGAGAGAGGTGGGGGCCTCACTTGGTTCCTAAGGTCATGGTGAGAGTGCTGGTCCTGAGGTTGGCTGCTCCTACACAAAAAGGGCACAATCACTCCATCATCACTCCCTGACACGTGTCCTCGCTACTCCCCACAAGCTGAGCACTGTCAACCCACAAAGATGGAACTGTTAACCTTCACACACACACTATGGCCCCTGGCCTCAGACTAGAGATGCCTCTCTACGGCACCTGCCCAGACCTTAGAGACCCACCACACTTCCGAGTCCCTCACTCTTACAGGACCCCTAGGCAGAGGGAAAATTACAGTTATTTGGCATTGACTCTATCCCCTTATATTTTCCAAACCACCTGATGATGAAGGCTTAGGCAAGCTCCCCAGGGCTGTTTATATCCATGGAAAGTCAAAGCAATGCACATTGCACAGTGCACCTGCTCCCAGCCCTGGGGTAAGTGGGCAGGAGAAGAGAATAAACAGAGGCCTATGAGGACTGGAAAAGTACCAAAACAGAGAGAACTAGGAGGGTAGGGAGATAGCAAGAGGGGGCTACAGATGTGAAGAAACCACGAATGTGTCTCCCCACCACACCAGGACAATCCTTTTTTGTTGTTGTTTTGGTTTTTTTTTTTTCGAGGCAAGGTTTCTCTGTATTGCTTTGGAAGTTGTCCTGGAACTCACTCTGTAGACCAGGCTTGCCTTGGCCTCGAACTCACAGAGATCCACCTGCCTCTACCTCCCAAGTGCTGGGACTAAATGTGTGCACCACCAACACCTGGCTGCCAGAACAATCCTTAAGGGTATCACCCACACACACACACACACACACACACCCTAGACACAGGTAACTTTTACACATTTACAATTAATCTACTACTTATAGTTTTGTGAGTGCCAAAATTGTTAGTAATGAGCTTCGACAGGAACTAAGCAGCTTTCTGCCATGGTTTGGTTGGGTACGTCTCCCCAAGAACCTGCCTGCATCGAGATCCCAAGACCTTCTAGCCCAACCCTGTAGTGGGGCAGTAAATGGAAAGTTGGCAGTTCTGCCCTCGTGGGTTCTTGAGAACAGGATGACACAATGGCAGAGTAAGGTGCAGGCCCTGGGAAGGAAGCCCAAAGGCTAAGAAGACCTGGGGTACCCTGGACTGAGCAGTATCCCCCATCCAGAACCTGTGAATGACAGCCAGGCAGTGGCGCACGCCTTTAATCCCAGCACTCAGGAGGCAGAGGCAGGAGGATCTCTGTGAGTTTGAGGCCAGCCTGGTTTATAGAGCTAGTGCCGGGACAGCCAGGGTTACACAAAGACACCCTGTCTCAAAAAAAAAAAAAAGCAACAACAACAAAAAACAAGAACAAACAAAACAACCTCTAAATGAGATCTTATTGAAAGACAAGGTTTCTGCAGACATATTGGTTAGGGGCCTCAGATGGGATCATCCTAAGGCTAGGGTGGCCCTAACCCAAAGGTGGGCATCCTTGTGAAAGAATAATCCAGATGCAGACAGGCAGAGGAAAGAGGAAGATCCTAGAGTGATGCAGTCAAGACTAAAGCTGCCCAGGACAGAGGACACACGAGAAGCTGGGAGCAGCCAGGCAAGAGTCCTCTCCTAGGCGCCACACGCCTGGATTCCTGACTTTAGCTTCCTGGACTAGGAGAAAATTCTTTCTATCTCTTTGTCCTGCCTGATTAAGGTGGCCCCAGGAAACCAGACCAGCTTCTTCCACAAGACGTGTCTAAGCTAAATCCATAAGCACGAGGCTCAACAGGTAAAGGAGACAGCAGATTTCAGGGATGAGATGAAGGCACCAAGGGTCTTGCCATCCCAAGCTCAGCAGAGAAGTCGCCCTGCACCCAGCCTGGAAAGTGTTGGCACTGGTCACTCGGGATGCCTGATACACAGCCTCTCCTCATTTCATATAAGGTCACAAGGGAGGTTAGGGTGCCCACTTTCACCCTAAACCCTATCTCTTTGAATATCTTTCCCTACAGCTTTCCCACCAGCCCCCAGCTTTCATCTCTCCATTTTGGGAAGTGAGAAAAACTAAAGTTTAACCAGCTTCAGTTTGAGGGTTCAAACTATGAGGTTTACGAAGGAAGGAAGGGTTCCCACACTAACGAGGGGGCATTGCTGTGTCTGTGTTGTCTGGTCCTGGGGGACTCCTCCCAGCAAACCCTTCCTAGTCAGCAGCTGAGTGAAGTTCCCCCTGCAGTACTCTACTACCATCGCCAAGCCTCCACAGCAACGGGCGCAGACAGTCACCAAGCCTCCGCAGCAACGGGTGCAGACCATCACCAAGCCTCCGAAGCAATGGGCGCAGACCAGGTGGAGATGCACCTACCACCCACCATCCCTGTCCTAGCCAGGCTGTCCCAGATCGGTGAGACGGGGACAAGGAAAGGGTGGAACAAGTCCTACGGGATGAGATTTGAGACAAGCAAGGAAGAAGTGAGCAGAAAGAAGCTGGATTGGGTCATAGGGGTGGAAGATTCTGGGCTGAATGGGGAGGGGGCACACAGAGAAGTGAGGTGGGCCAGGAGAGGGGAAGCCCAGGCCTCTCACTGTGGAGCTGCACCGCAGTGCTAAGCACATCTCCCAGCTCCTTGTGGAGGTAGACCTCTGCTAATGAGCTGTAGTCAGGATCAGAGATGACACAAATTCTGAACCCCAAAATCACCAAGAGGCCCATTTCGATGCAAAAGCAAAGAGTCTTTTATTGAAATTATTTAACGAGCTAAACCCATTAGCTCGGGCTCTTTATCCATCCACAACGGTGGATGGCTGGAGAAAGACCCCTCCCCCAGAACCCTCAAGACAGGGATCTTAAAGGGCAGCGTAAGGGGAGACAAAACAGTCTCAGGATTGGTGCACTTCCAGGTTTGGGCGACCTGCCCCGTGTTGGTCAACTGGTTGTTGTGGTCCATAGGCCCTCCCAGGGTGGTTGCTATGTTCTGCATGTCACTGTTGTGCACTGTCTGTAAAGCACACCCAGAGCCGTAAAGCACAGCCCTGCCAGCTAACTTCTGATTGGTTCCTTGCCACCAGGAGGGCATCTGACCTTAGTGACCAGGATAGGAGCGGCAAGGTCATGCAAGCACATGTTAGCCTGCCATGGCTGCTGAAATGGGGGACTGGTCACTACAACAG